TAAAGATTTGATTTTTCCATCTTTTACTAGTCTTCCTAGCTTCGTTACAGGAACCCATTCTTTCGAAGCTTCTTTAGCTCGTCCACGACCCCTACCTCGGCCACGTCCTCGTCCCCTTCCACGACCTCGGCCACCAGACCCAAAGCCTCCACGAAACCCTTCTCTACCTCTGGCTGGAGCACTGTCCGCCATTCTGTTAATTATAATTAAATTGAGAACGAATTCATTCTTGTTAAAGTGAAAAAAAATATTGTATAGATAATAACATACATTATAATAAGAATTATACATAAAATATTCTATAGCAAACCCGTTAAACGCAGATTAATTGCGATTAATTTATAAATATACAACACCTTCATCACTTACTTGTATAAACTTCTTACTAAAAAAACTTTATGACGTTGAGTGTTAAATTTAAAACGCCCTCTATGGGGTTTTTTAATCCGATAAAATCCTAAGACGTTCTCAATACCATTGATTTTGAATATAACCAGTTTTTTCCGAGCGACAAAGTCTTCAAACACCAATAATTACTAAACTATTTCGCTCCCAGTGGCACAGCGGTATGTCTGCGGACTTACAACGCTATAAACCGGGTTTCGATACCGTGGTGGGCAGAGAACAGATATCTCATTGTGTAGCTTTGTGCATAAATTCAAACAAACAAATTAAATCATTTTTCGAGCTTCCGAAACTTTCACGTAAATACCAAAATATACAGATATATATTTTTTGTATAAATATATTATAAAATTATTTACATATCAATAATACCAGACACATGTAATTTAGGCCCAAAAGTAATGATACAATATTACGTACTTTTTCGTGAATATATATCACGCAATATTAACATTCTTTTCGCATCTATATCTATATGAAACATATTTTAATCTAACAAGTAGTGAGAAAATATTGTAATTTTACTGTATTAAAAATTCAAAAAAAGTAATAATAACAGCGTGGCTTTCGCAAAGTTTTTCATTTGTTATTTGACGACAACTTTCAATATTTATTTATCAATATCTTTTGATTATCAAAAGTTACGGATTTACAACGCTAAAACCAGAGGTTCGATTACCCGCGGTGGACACCGCAGAAAGCTCGATGTGGCTTTGCTATAAAGTACACATACACGTATTCCACATCAAAACGTGAATTTTAGTGAAGAAAATATGGCGTAGAGACCAAATCTATTTATCAATTCGCTACAGCATCTTTCTTTTGCTGAATTCACAGCTCATCAGTGATGCTTGGAATAGTGAAGCAAATAAATAAGTAGTCTCGTATAATGACTATACATCAATACTGTTATGTCTCCGTTTGTTAATTGATTTTCAGTAACTTCGTTCCGACGAAACTTAAGCGACACAAGTCCTTTCTTAATAAAACTGGTTTATTCTTTCCGAATATAACTTTACCGATACACTTAACTTCAACAATCGCGCTAAAACAAACGCTGATCAACGAACGTCAACAATATTTC